GCCTTGCATGTTGAGGTACTGGGGTTTAGGTATGGTGCATGCTTATACATAGGCAAAATATTAAAATTGCCTTTAAGTTCTTCAGTAATTTCATGCCTAGGTCTCTCAAAATCTGGTACAATTTGATCCTCATATATTGCCTTTTATTTCAATCATATCCTTGATATATTGCATTCATGGTGCTTCAAGTTTCAGAATATCTACACTTCAATCCCCAACTTCACACTTTTGTACGTTTTTAGTCCTTTTACCTTCTTTTGTATTGTTCCCCTCCTTTAGAGGGCTCCATTTGTAAAATGGGTCTTCCAATAGCCTTTTCACCAGAGACTTCTCATTTTTCAGAGGTCCTACCTATTCATGGTCTCTTCTTTAAGGCCTCCTCCTTTTTGAGGGTGCTTGATTCAAGACCACTTATTTAGTGATAACTCCTTTTTCAGGGAGTCTTCTTATTCGTGGCCTCTTCTTTAGAAGCCTTCCCCTATCAAGGGTCTTCTTCTTCATGGCCTTTTCTTTGGAGACCTCTCCTTATTAAGGGTCTACTTTATTTAAGGCCACTTCTTCAGCGGCCTCTCCCTTTTCAGGGGGTCTTCTTCTTCATGGCCTTTTCTTTGTGGACCTCTCCTTATTAAGGGTCTACTTTGTTTAAGGCCACTTCTTCAGAGGCCTCCCATTTTCAGGGGGTCTTCTTCTTCATGGCTTCTTCTTTGGAGACCTTCCCCTATCAGGGTCTACTTTATTTAAGGCCACTTCTTTAGCGGCCTCTCCCTTTTCAGAGGGTCTTTTTCATCATGGCTTCTTCTTCAAAGGCCTCCCCTTTTTAGGGAGTCTTCTTCTTCATGGCATCTTTTTTGGGGACCTCCCCTTTTCACGGGGTCTTCTTCTTATTTCTTTGCATTTGGAGTTGTTGTATAAGATCTTTTTCTAAATGATGCTTCTTATGTTTGTAGCCATTCAGTTACTTCCCAAGTGAATTGGATAGTTACTCTCATTCTATCTCGTCTATGCTAATGATGAGGTCAGTGATAACTCACTGGGGAGGTTCTTCAGGAGACCTCTTCGTCAGGGGTCTTTCTATCTCTTCTAAGTGGGATTACCTCATTGCTTGAACTCATTTTTTCATACAAATCTTTTCTTCAAAGATATGAGGGTCACACAAATGGATTTCTATCTCAACATATTCCTTTTTTTTTTTTTAACAATTATCAACAATTCATGTACCAATGTAAACTCCAAAGCTTTTTCTTAAGGCTTCCACTTGTTCGTTCTTCAAGAACAAATCTTTTTTTAAGGGAGATGCCCAACTCTCTAATGGCAAGCTTTTTCCACGGGATGTTCGTGGTTATAGTGTGGTTTTCCACAGATAGCACCAATATGTGGACATCCAAAAATGGCCAACAGGTGTTGCTAGGAGATAGTGTACATGTGGACCAGTTTTGTAGTCTTTCTACTGTAAATAAGTTTGTAGAAGAAGAAGAAGAAGATAGAGACAATATATTATGTTCTCTTTTCTATTCAAGGATCCATCCTTTGAACAATACAAGAAGGGGAGTATTTATAATGTTACACATAAGATGTTATCCATTTGATGAGAAGCCATGTGACTTCATCTCCTTAACCAAAGCATCTAATCCTAGACATCGTTTTTCACTTCTTAACCTGTGGTGCATTTAATGTTCTTACACATAGAAGTCATCCTATTGACATGACAAGATATTTATACTTATAACAAAGGTCACATCAATCAGTTCCTAAGATATGTTTGTCAGACCCTCTAGGTGTCAAGGACCTCAGTGCCAAGGGGCTCAGCAGGAAGACGTCAACCCACTTTGGATGAACAAGATCAAAACCACTTTGAAGAATTCTATTAAAACGACCTCGAAGTTCAGTGCAACAAGCTCGGTCGTTGACTATTTACACAGTGCTTTGCTTTAGGTCCTCAGCCACTTATTCAGGGCTTTAGCTTAAGGACTTCTTGAGCCTTGATTTGAGACGTGGACCTCTTCTTAAACTTTGGTAGACATCCTCGAAGGCACGTCAGCAGGCACTTCAGCCATTTTTGAAGGCACCATGGCTTACCGTTTGGAGAGTCTCGGTTTGGGCTTTGTAAGCACCTCAGCTGAGCTTTGGAAGCACCTCAGTTGACCCCCTTAAGAGTTGAGTTTACACCCTTAAGAGCCTCAACTCATCCATGCATTCCACGTGTATTATTGTGGTGCCTCCGTGAGGCATTTCATATTCGACTAGTAACAGAGAATTTAAAATAAAATTTGTTATCACATCTCATCGTAGATCACCGATGTCGAATTCACAAAAAAAATCATATGAAAGAATCATCATATTATGGGTTCCCGGAAAGAGGATTTGAAATCAAAATTGTTATTACATCTCATTCACCATTTAATTGTTATTAATCTTTTTTTTTTTTTAAAATAAAAAAGATGCACTAGGTATAAGATATCAACTTTTGCATATTATGTATGTTTTTGGCTTCATGAAAAGCTATACCTTTTTCTAAATTAAGATATAAAAGTAATAATAAAAAATCATTCATTTAAAATTGTATAAAATAAAATCTAACTTATTTAGTGGTAAATAATTTACGCGAGAGTAAGTTTTTAAAGCTCATGTCCTTTTTTTTTTTTTTTTTTTTTTCTCAAGTTTCTAAATATGGTCAAATTGATCTTCAAAGTTGTATTAATGATTTCTAATTAGTCATAGATAGCAAAGATGATTCCAAGTATTGCTAAACCGTCACGTGAACTTAGACTCTGTTTTTTTTTTCCAATTTTTCAACCCAATTTTAAAGAATTTTTGGACGGGAAAATTACATAATGCCAGGTGTTTAAACATCACAATTTAGAAGTCAGTGCTGAAATTTCATTATACATAAATTAGGTATTAAATAATAATTAAATATTAAATATATCCACCCACCCACCCCCCAAACCTTAGGTATTGAATCATAGCTTCATTCACTCTCTACATCTCTCTCACTTCTCTATTCTTTTTGACTGATCATTGCCGTCTTCGGTGCCACGCTTTCTCCCTTCGCTCTCCGCGCGTCAAGTCACCACCATTTACGTTGGCAATTTCATAGTGGGATATCACCATGGGAGATCACCGACGATTATCACATTTAGGTCAACAATTTCAGGTGTATGAGAATGACACACCCCTCTCTATTTACACATTTTCTCTTTCTACTCACATACTACCTACAATGTCCAAGCTACCACTATCAGCATTGATAATAGCCGAATAAAGAAAGGAATGTGCGGTTCTGTGCAGTATTTTGCAATTTTATGTGTGGTATATGCAATGACGGTGCAGTGAAAGTGTGGTGATGGTGATGCAATTGATCTAGGTAGGACGGCGATGGTGGTGATGTAGTGACGATGCTTTTGTTGGCACTTGGCAGTGATGATTTGGCTGGTGTTGGTGAGGTTGGAAGGTGGTGTATTATTGGGTATGTCTGGTTGTGGTTCTGGAGATGTTGTGGGTTGAGTATTGTTGGTACGTTTGGTGGTGGAGGTGGTTGTTGATAGCTGGAGAGCAGATGGAGTCGGTTGTTGTGATTTTTGTTGGCAGCTGATTGGATTTGGTGGTAGTGATGTCGTGGTGTTAGTGGTGGTGTTGGTGGCGGCAGTGACAAGTTGAAAGTGGTGGAAAGTGGCGGTGGTTGCGAGTGTAAGTGTTGGTGGTGTGATCGCCGCTCGTGTTTGTGTGGAAGTGTATTTGTGCGGTGTGTAGGTGTTTTTTAGTTTTTGGAGTGGTGGTGGATGGTAATGGTGGTGTCAAATGGTAGCGGTTGGATGCCCTGCTTGGCTTAGTGCAGTGGTTATTGTTGAGATATTTTTGTCGATTTTTGGAGTGGTGGTGGTGCTGGCAGTGGTTGTGACAGGGTGGGGTAGTGTTTGTGACTAAGTATTGTGGTGGATTGGGATCAAGCGTTTGGTTTCGTGACCAATTATTTGGTCTCCCATGACTGACTATTAAATTTTGACTTTAAAATTCGATCATTTGTGACTTAAAAAAATAATTCGCGACCATCAAATTTGAAAATACACAACTGGTGACCTAAAATTTTTTGGATTTGTGAACTACGACCTTAAAATTCGATCATTTGTGACTTAAAAAAGTAATCCGTGATCATCAAATTTTAAAATATGTGACATGTGACATGTGACTTATAATTTTTTGGATTTGTAACTAATGACATAAACTGTGACCTATAAAATTTTTAATTTGTGACCTCGACATAATTTGTAACCAATTAATTTAATAATATGTGACTAATAAATAAGTTGTGATCCATAATTATGTTCATCTGACCATTATTTACATAAATGTGACCTCATTATATTTAATTAATAAATATTTTTAATTAATTAGCAAAAACCTGATTTTTGCATTAGTTAAACTTAAAACTTGACTTTTGAATTGTGCATAGTTAAAACATAATTTGTAAATTTCTCTCTTTTCGAACTGTTAGTAGATCTCCAGTCCACATTGTTGACTTCTTTTCTCACAATTGGTCCCATCTACTGTTAAAAAAGGTCAAAAAATCCATAATTTTCTTTAAAGAATAGGAAACAAACAGGGGCTTAGATTGTTTAACTTCATAAAGGTATGTTTTGCATATCATCTTGATTGGACGAATGTTTGGAAATTCAAAGTGAAACATATCTCATATCCAATGTCACCATTTAATTAATATCGAAACCTATATAAATAAGGACAATGCAATGTGTATATAATAATGTACACACAATATTACACCTCTCTCACATGGAGATGGTTCAAATATAATAAAATATTTATGAGCTTACCTTCGTATGAGGAAAGTGTAATCCATTGTGTATGTGTACATATATAATTATCCTATTATTCATATATAATGGGTCCAATGTTATGCCACTTCACCAAATCTGGGTAGTTGTGGAAAAAGTTTCGGTACAAGAAGTTATTACTCCCGCCGACTAATTAAATAATAGGTGTATTATTTATAGGATAATATCTCAATGCTCTACTCATAGGAATGGTATAATTAAAGCATCCATATTTGACAAGGTCGACAATCAAAAGCATCGTTGAAATTATGGAAATTTTCAAGCCCACGCTGTTATTCTTGAAATTATTGTACTCTCATCATCAATCACCGTTTTCATAGATTCAAAGCTCGAAAAACAAAAAGCCCAAAAATCAGAATTTCCCTCTTGACCTCTTCTTTGTTTCGGAAATTGATTCTATCCTTTGGCTACGTATTTTGCAAATAATCTTTATTCGTATTTATATTTATTGGAAAAATATACGTAAAATGGACCCAGAGCAGACGTTTATACGAGTTCAAGAGCGATTCTCAGAGATGCTGACGCCCAAAGTCAGAGTCATGCTGGAGTATTTATTTCTTTTCTTGGCCATCACCCTCTTCTGTGTTCTCATTGTTATGCACGCCAATTATGTTCAACAGGTTTTCCATTTTCTTTTTCTGTTTGAATTGCCCTTTCTGGCTTTATGTTTATTATTTGTGTTATTGAGTATTATTACATACTACTTAGGTATTTCCCAAAGGGATTTTTGATGAATTTGTAATTATTCTTTATATATTTTTGTATATTCACTGTTCATAATTTGATGGTGAAGCCTGGTTGTTCAAGTGAGCTGTCTGAAGTGGAGACGTCTGAGGCCCAGCTTATTTATATTAAGGTTTGTGATTGTCTGTGTAACTCTTCATGAGAAGCTATTTTTTATGGCATTTCTAATGCGTATTGTTCTACATCAAATTCAATTTGTGATAAGTGTTTAATTCAAGAATTAAGTTTCTGGGGTGTAATTTAAGTTAAATTGTGGTTAACTCTTGTTGGAAATATAGGAATGCGTACTCTACAGTCGGGAAATATGTTTTCTGTTAATTGCTGATTCATTGGATTTTGCTAATTCAGATTTAAAATTAAAGGCACATCCCGCTTTTTGATGCAGATCGCTAGCGCTGGCTTGTGGTCACAAAATAAGCCCGGGTATGATGCAATGGATGCTCCTAAAAGAGAAACTGAAAATGCAATTTTAAAGGCAACAAATGTTGATGGAGATGGATTACCTCTCTTTGGAACAAAATCATGGTTGACTTGGATATCTTCTGGTGCAAAGATGGGGAAATCTCCGTTAAAATTTTGGAGCACTGACAATGATGTTATAGAATCTCAGCAAGAAGCTTCCGTCAGCAGTGAAAGCTTTAAGACAGCTGCAGATGACATGGTGGTGAAAAAAATTAAAGATGGATCACGCGGCAGGTTCTTTCTCTCACCCAAAGAGTCAACCAAGGCAGCAATAGTTCACCTTGGCAGAAAGTGGCATGGGCGTATATCTTTCTTTTGGAGATTGGCAAAGAGAATTCTTGGAGGTTTATGGGTAAGGAATCTATGTCAATTTGAAATTTATCGAAGTGAATGCCTAATTTTCCCTCTTCCTTTTTTGTCATGGAAAAATTGAAAATTTTTTGTGTATGTGTGCAAATATGCATTCATGGAACTCCAAAAGGAGTTAGTTTAATCAATGGTCACTAAACTTTGCTATATGTCACTACTTGTTCGCCGAAATTCAAAAAGTTGCTCTTTACTCATTGAACTTTCCTACAGTTACTACTCGCTCGCTGAAATTTAAAAGGTTACTCATTGCTCATCCAAATTTGAACAAAATTACCCATTAATCACCCATATCATTTCCATCAATGTTATCTATAGCAAAGTTCAGGGAGCAACTTTGTTCAAATTTAGGTGAGCAATGAGTAACCTTTTAAATTTCGGCGAGCAAGTACTAACCACCTATAGCAAGTGTTGACCCCAAAAATTGTGCCAACAGATGCCGGTCCCACCCGCGCTTGCGTGGGCGAATGTCCAACACGCTAAGACACGTGGACGGTCTAAAACGAGTGGTTTAAAGGGGCGTGGGAGTAGCCCAACGACGCGGGACGGTGACGTTCGGAATCCGGCGTGTTGTTCGTAATCCGATTGTACAATAATTACCAACCGGTGCTCGTAAATGTATAAGTGAAAGTGTATAAACTCGATTTGTGTATTGCAAGTAACTGAGAGAGTTGAGTAAATGTAGTTTTTAGTATTGATTCTTGCATTAGCCTTTGACATTGCACAATGAGAGTATTTATAGTGATACATATGAAATGGGAGCCCTTGGATAAGTGGCACGTGGCCTCATCTCTTTAGTTCAAACATCTTTTCCTAGGTATGGGGCTTGACTTGCTAGCTTGCGGCGCATTTATTGCTTGTGCAGGGCCTCGATGCTAGTGACAAGAATTGACCTTTATGCTTATGACAAACGTTCCATCAATCATTCGAATAAGATCTGTGCAGGCGATCTCTTGGGAGAAGTGACCATGGAGGATGTTTCTTTGTGGTTAAGAGGCTCGTGCATCAACTTTGGGGCTTCGCCCATTTGACAAATACTTCCACTTGAGGACCTCAGCTACATCCAACAGGTTCCATGCCTCGAGTCATGGGCCTTGGCTTGAAGCACTTCGGATATAACCCACCTCGGCAATGTGTGCCACCTCGATAGGAATGCCACGTGGATCAGGATGAGTGGGCCATTGGCCCAGGTGGATAGGACAGGTGTGACAACACGCAACAATAGTCCCCCAAGTCCAAGTATAATCATTAATGTAATGCGTGGACTTAAATGGAGTAAAAGTTGAAAGAATTTTTGAACCCCAAATAATAGTCCCCCAAGTCCAAAGATATTTATATCATGGTTGGAGTTTGAGAAGTGTTGCTGTGGGTGAATGATGAAGAAGCCGAGGTGGTTGAATAAACCGAACCTGTGAGGCTTGTGAAGGCTGAATGGTGAGGAGAGAAGCCGAGGTGGTTGAGGAAACCGAACCTGCGAGGCTTGAATGCTGAATGGCGAGGAGAAAGCCGAGATGGTTGAGGAACCGAACCTGCGAGGCTTGATTGCTGAATGGCGAAGAGGAAGCCGAGGTGTTTGAGGGACCGCTGCGAGGCTTGCCGAGGTCCAATGGTAATGATTGTGCGTTGGTCGCTGTGCCAATGATTTGATGTTTTGTGCTTATTTTCGAGGAAAGGTAGCTGAACCGTTACGACTTCCAAGGCGCTGGCGCCGTCGAATTAAAAATGCAATTATGAGGGGCAGCTGGCGTTTCTAGAAGCAGACGCGTTGGAGAGGTGCGTGGGAGGCACGCATAGATCGGAGGCGTAGGATTTAAAAAACTGTTTGAATTCAACGCCTCGGATTGGATCTGAAATGGAGGGCTCGGATTGACTGAGATTTGATCTGATGGCTGGGGTTCGTCTTGGACCTTTATAAAAGGCGAGAAAATCCCAATTTTCAGGATTTTTGAACACTTTGCACTCTGAAATTCTCTCAAATTTCCCATTTTCGTCGAGGTTGTCTGTGATTAAATTCCGACCAGTCTCCGTTTGTGTCGAACTCGTTTAGGTATTGTTTGCATAAAAAACCCTTGTTATTGTCTTTGTACTGACAAAATGGAGTCCACTTCGGGTAGGGAGCTTGTTATAGTGGCGTCTTTAGACCATGAGGTAGGTCATGGGGGGATGTCCGAGGTGGATAGGTATGCCATGGCCGAGGAGGCTGTGGACTATACCCAGGAGTGGGGGGCTTCTAGAGTGCCCTCGAATATGACGGGGAAGAGGTTGGGGGAACTTAGGGAAAGGTACAGTGTGCCTCATAACATAGAGATGTTAGTCCCCGAGCCGAACGAGCGGGCCTACTATCCGAGGCCCGGCTGCGTGGCCGTGAGTGAATACCTGTTCAAGGCAGGTATGCGTCTTCCTCTGCACCCCTTCTTTAGAGCGGTGCTTAGGAAATTCATGCTGTCGCCGACCCAGGTTCTGCCGAATGGGTGGAGCCAGCTGGTCGGCTCGTACTTCCTGTGGAAGGAAGTGTCACTTGGGGAGGACATGCCTCTTCATGTCTTCATGACCCTGTTCCAGCCCCGGGTAATTGGGAAGGAGTCAAGGGGGTGGTACTACCTCACGCCTTGGGGGGCTCACGCACCCTTTGTGGTGGGACTTCCTTCTTCTATCAAGGGGTGGAAGGAGTCCTGGTTCTGGGTGCGAGGTAAATGGTAGGCAGTGGAGGGTGACAGCCCTGTCATGCACAGTGCCGACCCAGTACTACGAAGCTCGTGAGTCTCCCGACCTCTGCTTGTCTTTTGAAGTCAGAATCTGAATTCGTCTAACTGTTGGAGGTTCCTTTGCAGATAGTAGTATGAGGTTCGAGCTCAGTAGGGAGGAATTCGAGGTGATAGAGGACATTTACAAGAGGCCTCTGAAGTTTCGGCACTTCGATCACTTGATTGATAGAAGCAGATACTTCTTGGATTTCGAGCTGATGGCATCAAGAGGTATGAGGCCCCAACACTTAATGTTTTTATCCTTAATGTTTCTTATGCTGATGCTGATCTGACATGTTGTGCAGACAAATTCAAGAAGAGGGAGTACCCAGCTCCGGACATGGCCTCCATCTTGAAGGCCACTTCTACTGCGAAGGCGAGGCCCCTGAAGCCTGGGTCCAGTGGAGCAAAGGAAGTCCGAGACAGGGTTGAGCGCCTGTCCAAGGACTGCACTCCCAGGGCCTCGGAGGAGGCAACTACTCATAGGCCAGAGGAGCCTAAGGAGCCTCGGGGCAAGGAGAAAGTCTCTGAGGAGACTAAGAAGAGGAAGCTGGTACACATCTCCAGCTCAGCTGGCAAGTTTGGGACCTCAGTGTCCCATAGGGCTTAACAGACTGGAGAGTCGAAGCTTCTTGTTGCAGCCTCTAAGGCCATTAAAATGGAGATGGTAAGAGAGGTGGAGGCTGAAGAGGCCAGAGTAGAGGCTGCAAGGCGAGCTGCAGAAGCCGCCGAAGAAGAGGCGGCAAAGGAGAACCCGATTCAGGAGAAGGGGAAGTCTCCAAACTTTCTAGCTGGGAGGGAGGAGGAGCTGGCCCCAGCCTTGGTGGAGGCTCTCCCTGAGGAAATCAAAAGTGCCACCGAGAGCTTTTACAAGTTCTGGACAGAGAGGTGGTAGCTACATGCCTCGTCTTGTGATGCCACCTACCTCACAAGGGCACTGGTGAGCCAAAGCGCCCGGACCTTTGGCCTCGTGCTCGAATGCAGGGAGGCATTAAGCGAATTCCAGACAAGGACCCACGCCTCGGAGGGGAAGGCTGCCTCCCTTGCAGAGGAGGTTAAAGCTGCTAAGGCCGAGGCTGAAGAAGCCAAAGCCCAGAGGATTGAAGAAGCGGCGAAACTTGAGTCTGCTTTGGCCCAAATTGAGGCCCTAAAGAGGGAAGTATATGAGTCACAGTGCGAGGTGGCCTCCTTAACAAAGAAGGTGGAGGTCTCCAATGAGCACCAAAAGGTGACTGCTGAAGCTCTTGAGCAGGCGAATCTCTCCTTGGCCGGTGCTCGAGATGCCTATCAGTTTCTCGAAGGCCAGGCGAAGTGGTACATGAATGACGCCTCGGTTGCCAGAGAAGAGGCCCGAACTGCAAGGGAGGAGGCGGTGAAGGAATACATCGCCAATTTCCATACTACGGAGGAGTACAAAAGCTTCAGCTCGTACTGGAGGAACTTCGCCTATGCCGAAGTGCTGGAGAGGGCAGAGGAGCTCTATCCCAACTTGGACTTGGCTCAACTTAGGTCCGAATTTGTGGATGAGGTACCTCAGACCCCAGCTGAGGAGGTCCAGGGTGATGAAGAAGTTGATGCTGAGGCCCTTGGTGCTGAGGCAGAGAAAACAACTACTGATGCCCAAGTTGCTGAAGGCCTCAGTGCCGAGGCTCCTCCGTCATCTAGCCAGGCATAGACTAGGTTTTATTTTTCAGTAATTTGGATGTAATGGCCAGAGGCCCTCCTTTGTAACATGCTTTGAAATATCAATACAATGCCTTTCTTCTTTCGTTGTTGCTTTTTGTCTAAGTTTTTATACCTCGTTTAAACAAATTTACTGGAACTTGATAGAAGCATGAACTAAATAAATGAGCATAACTTGAGTGACTGAACTGTACGAACCTCGGACTGAAGCAAATAAACATGACCTAAGGAGATGAACTGTACAAACCTCGAACTTAAGCAAATTAACATGACTTAAGGAGATGAACAGTGTGAACCTTGGACTTAAGCAAATTAACATGACTTAAGGAGATGAACAGTGTGAACCTCGGATTTAGGGTTGTGGCTTCTCTCCTTGGCGTTCAGCAAGGCCAAAGGGAGGCATGTGCTAGCGCCTCGGAGTTCAAGCGAGGTGGCCCAGAGGCGGGTCCCGAGCCTCTCTTCCGAGGTGACGACGCATCCCAGACATGGTGGATGGTGCAGCTATGTTGAGGCTTCTCTCCTTGGCGTTCAGCAAGGCCAAAGGGAGGCATGTGCTAGC